TGTATATGGATTATATATGAAATATTTCAAAATCAATGTGCATAGTCTAGTAAATTTGTATGAGAAATGCATTATTTTACACTTAGATTTATCCAAGTAAAATCAACACTGTCGTATTCCCGTTTGAGTGATTAATTTTAAAAAAAATCGATCAAATGTTGTACATTATCTATGAATAAGGATAAAACAAACGAAATATTAACTTGTGGTTTTAGGTTATCTGTAATGCATAACTCGTAGTAAATTGTGGTAAATAAACACAAACTGTGTTTCGTCTCGCACTAAATGTGGTATACTTCTGATTTATTTATCAGTTGTTTAGATTTAGATTTAGAACTGAGGCTTAAATGGTCAAATAATTTCTCCAATCCTTATATTGCCTTTATACATTGTATGTTCTTGAACCTTGTCATACTGCAAAACTGCATTCATTTATGTTTTCTTCACTTTAGCCTCTTGCATGAGTTAATATAAGATAAGATAAGAGTTTGTGTAATATTTTTGAAAGGGGCAGACCTGTATTCTTTTAATGGTGATCTTCCCTGGATATTATCTGTCGTTTCCTATTATACTAATGTATAAAATCATTTGATTCCAAGATGCTAGGAACTTTACGTTTTAAACAAAATGCACATGTATATGGGATATACGCATGGTGCCTACACTTTGAGATATTCTGCCTTATTTGCAAAAATATCGGTTCTACATCAATAACAACAGAACCTCTTTTAGATCAAATAATTATTAATGTTCGGTTGAAACATTATGCCAATTTGGTATGGTAACTGTCGGTTGATCACAGTGTTTTACAATACTTACAATTATTACCGTATTATTGATCACAAAAGGAACTCAAATTTCAATTTAATTACTCTTTTCTTTATTTCATTGAATGGATCTTTAAAAGTCTTTTAAATAACAAAATTGTTTTCATAAAATGAGTCTTAAACTATTCTAAAAAATAGAATGAATATTCATGAGAAAAAAAAGACACAATGCTACTCCACCTGAAAATACAAATATTTCAAATGTCATGAATGTCAATTAAAAAATAAAGAGCAGATAATACATGTGTGCAATTATAATAAATGATAGGTGAACATCGGGGGCGGTGGCCTAGTGGTTAAGGTCTGCCTCTCAACCGGTTGACCATGAGTTTTAGCCCTAATCACGTCACAACCATGTTTCTCTTCATATGGCACCAGGACTGGTTGGTTACAGGAAGCGGACTCGAATGTGATTAATTTATGTTTCCAGAACTTGTTTCGCAATCTAGCTTAAATAAATATGAGCCGCGTCACAGAAAAACAAACTTAGTGCGTTTGCGACCAGCATGGATCAAGACCAGCATGCGCATTCGCTATAAGTTTCTCTACTTATTATAGGGTTGGTAAACGAACAGTATGGATCCTGATCAGACTGCGCGGATGCGCAGGCTGGTCTGGATCCATGCTGGTCGCAAACGCACGATGTTGGTTTTGTCGTGACACGGCTCATATGTTTAAACCAACATCGTAAAGCTTAGGCTAAGGATCGAAAGCTGCCTGATGACGAGATTATATAACAACACTAGGAACACACTGATGTACGTTTTTGAATACTAGTTAAATAACAAGAGCGAACTTGGCATTAATTTAATCTCATGTTGTTTGACAACAACCAAAAAATCCTTATACCAGATACTTCCACTATCATTATGATTATTCCCAATTTCCTACTTTCAAATCGGATACATTTGGTTAGGGTTTAGAAAAAACCGATAAAGGTAGTGATGACATTCACTTTGTTAGACAATATCATAATAACAAAAGAAAAAGAAATATATTTTGACAAAAGAACTTTAAAAAGTTAATTTTTTGAAAAGGTTTTTTTATTTTTCCTTTTAAATAAATTTTATGGGGGAATTAAAAAAAATTTCAAAAAATGTGAAAAAGTTTAAAGTACATTATGCCCATCAAAGGGGTTAGTGGGTGACAGTGCATTAAACTTAACATTTTCCCTGTTTCTTTCCCTTTATAATTTTCTTTCGCGAAAAATTAATATCTCCGTGGACCCAAAAAAAGTTCCCTAATTTATAACCCTTTTTGTAACTTTAATAATTTTTTTTAAAAACGGGGAGTCTTTTTATACGAGGCAATTTATACTTTTTCCCAACATTTTTATTATAACTAATTGGGCAACACACTTTAACATAAAACTTAAAATATATTCTCAATTCAGTTGAACTTCACAATGAACAAAAAGGGATATTGTCACTAATAACATATATTGTAGACGTATTATCTGCTACAAACTACGATGCACAATGCTTCAGTCCCGATACAATGCTACTATTATGTTATATAACAAGAATAAAATTAAAGTTCACTATGTGTTAAATCTTGCATGTTAGTGTGGATGTTTTGTTTCACACGTTTTGTTCATTCAAGGTTAAGGAGTTTCAGCAGCGTCTGAACTGGCATCTGTGCGAAAGACCGGTAGGGTCATATTTCAACTTCATAAAGTCACGATTTTATCTTCATGAATTCACAATTTTAACTTCCTGTATTCCCGTTTTCAACTTACGGAAGTCACGAATTCCCGATTTCATCTTCATGAATTCCCGATTTCAACTTCATGAATTCACGATTTCAACCTCACGAATTCAACTTCGTGAATTCACGATTTCAACTTCACGAATTCACGATTTCAACTTCGTGAATTCACGATTTCAACTTCATAAATTCACGAATTCCACTTCATGAATGCACGATTTCAACTTCACGAATTTACGATTTCAATAAGTGAATACATGAATTCAAGTATATAATTTCACTATTTCAACTTCACGATTTCAACTTCCGAATTCACGATTTCAATTTCATGAGGTTGAAATCGTGAATTCATGAAGTTGAAATTGTGAATTCATGAAGTTGAAATTGTGAATTCGTGAAGTTGAAATCGGGAATTCATGAAGATGAAATCGAGAATTCATGAAGTTGAAATGTCTCTACCGGGCATTCGTACATCTGGCTTATCACATTTTGTACAATGTATCAATGCAAGATTAAAACTGAAATTAATTGCTTTACTGCATAAACAAATCTATCACAACATATCATATGACGGAAAAACAAAGGCGCTTGAATAAATGTTGCATCATATATAGGCTTACTTCATGTATAATACAAATGTCACCGTGTTAAACGATGAGTCATAAATGGTATTTCACAATTTATCGAATTCTTTTCCAATCCTTTGATTTGCACTTACTACATTTGCATACTAGTATAAACATATAAGGACATATTTTACAAATGGTAACGACGTAAAATGTCATATCATTACGAAGAACAATATTAATTTAGGTGAATGTCTATATTTGTAGTGAAAAAAGTAACATAACCGTAAACAAGCAGTAGAACATTTGAAAGAAAACTTTAAATGGTCCTTATATAATAAAGCAATTGTGTTGCCACCACTGTGCAACCATTTAGGAAATCGTTGGCACTTATATCCAAGTATTGTATGTAAAAAGCTTTGATAAACACACTTTCTACGATGGAACATCTCTCAAAGGTATATAAGATACGTTTTACTTAGATCCTACATGTATATCAAAGGAAATGTGTTAAATATCTATGGAAATTCAAACTAAATTATTTATACGAATATACTCAAGAGCATTGGCAAATGGTTATAAGTGATTTAGTTCCCTAAATGTGCAGGTTATTACATTATATCGACTGAATTGAAAACTCTCTTGGGGATAAAGAGAAGCTTATTAATTTTAGCAGTTTACATGGTGCAATGGCTTTGTCCATAAGTTTAAACTGAAAGCAATTGCTATGCGATTCAAAAAAACAACATATCATATGATGGAAAACACAAGCGTTTACGTAAAAGTTTCATCATTAATAGGCTTGCTCCATGTAAAGTATAAATGTCATGGTATTTAACGGTGCGATATAAATTGTATTTCACAATGTATCGAATGCTTTTCTTATCCTTTGACTTATTAGCAATACATTCGCATACTTTTATATACACATATGGAAACGAAATTCTTACACAAGATATGGGCGTAAAAGGTGATGAAGTTTCAAAGAGCAATATTAATATAAGTTAATGTTTATATTTCTAGGGAATAAAACCCTCTTAGTCACGGAGAATAAACAGTAGAACAAGTAGAACATTTGAAAGAAAAACTTTAAATGGTTCTATTTTAATAAAGCAATAATGTTGCCACAATGCAACCATCAAGAAATCGTTGACACTTCTATCCTAGTATTTTTATGTAAAAAGGTTTGATAAGCGCACTTTCTAAGATGAAACCTCTCTGTGGTATAAAAGATACGTTTTACTTTTATCTTAAATTAAAGGAAAAGCGTTAAATATCCATGGAAATTCAAACTAATTTATTTATACGATTTTACGTAAGAGCTTTGACTAATGGTTATAAGTGATTTAGTTCCCTAAATGTGCAGGTTATTACATTATATCGACTGAATTGAAAACTCCCTGGGCGAAATAAAAGCATAAAAAGCTTATTTCTTTAAACTGTTAACATGGCGCAATGATTTTGTCTATACGTTCGCTCAGTATCGTAGCGTTACTATAAGCTCAGAATGCAATTAGGTAATTATTTGTAAGAAAACTTATAAAGAATAGGACACGTTGATATAGAAATAACGTTAAAATATTTATTTATATAAATTTTGAATTTAATTTTTTAAATATAAAGTTTGTTTACAATTTGTAAACATGTGCTGATGAACAATCGTCGCATCGGAAACCTGTGATTAATGGGTATAGGAGATATCAATTTTGATCTGATACCTCAACTAAATGATAACTCAACGGCACTTTTCTGTGACGTTAAGTCATAAAGAAAAATAACTTAAAAGGTCATGTATGTGTCAACTTGAAATTGGCATGATTAAGTGAACTAGATTAAGTTAAACTGAAGAAATAACGTAGATAAAGTACAACTACCGGTACCTCCGCGCGTCTGTGTTCGAAATAGTCGAAATCTCTTTTGTGGCATAACGCGCATTAGTCCTGTAGCATCATTTGTGGGAACAAAAGGTTTACCCATTTCTTCTTGTTTATTTCTTTCTTCTATTTCAATCATGTCCTTAAGCTCTTTGAGAAGCTGCAACCTCTACAAAACAAGTATAACATGAGTATATTAAACATCTTAGGTGAATAAAAATAATTTCTTATAATCAAGCAATAGATATGTAATACAAAAAAAATCAATTAACTTTTCCAGTGTTATACAATTTTATATAAATTGGTTGACAGGTTATCAAACCGCTACACTTTGATAAGACACAGTTACTGGTTGATTTGGTTTACACAAAAGTACAAACGTTTTTTATCATTTGACCTAGAAGTAAGCAGGGAGGGCTTGTTGTCACTGCTAGAAACAGGAAACCTCTGCTTTGTTTCGTTTTAAATTAGAATTTATTATTTGTTCACTTCACGTTAATTAACGTACAAAATGGCGGGAGTCCTATATGCGGGTGCATCGTGATGCTCAAGATTAATTATCTAAATTCAATTTAGTGTTTTAATACTTAATTTCTAAATAATCTTGTATAGGGATTCGAAACTAAGGAACACATTAAAACATAAGGGTATCGTTTTGATTAAACAAAATCAAATACTATTAGCTCAAATATGACAGGAACTTACATTAGAGAATTCCAATGAAATCAATCGAGAGATGAACCACTTTGTTTTCATTTCCATGTTATAACCAGTTATTGACTTAATCATACTTATATGTACTAAGCTTCAACGAGTATTCTTATTCAGTTTATAATCATTACCGGAAAATAAAACTTATGTCATTTTAAACGTCTATTCTGTACAGTTAGGTCTTGCTAGAAGAGATGTTAAGATAATCAGAAATAAAAATAGTAATATTTTTTTTATTTCGAGAAGGTTACATAATAAGAGAACATGTATACTTATTTTAAGTACGGTCTTCTAATTACCGATAACAAAGGAAAAAATACAAGTAGATCTATACAAAATTCTTAATATTTTGTACAAAAAATACCCAACAAATATATTTTTTAATGTAAATGTACTTTCATTCATCCAGCTGACACTAATATTAATCGTAGTAATTATAGATACACTCAAAAATAATTTTAAAAAATGATAATATCAACTTTTTCAAAACCTGCACTATAAAGTGGTGAATTTCCACCATGTATCTACTTGTAAAAATAGAAAATAATTTTACAGCTGTTTTTGAAAAGACTGTAAAGTCGAATGTTCGATAGTATTAGGTAATTTGTTCCAAACATCAATACTGAAATGAGAAAGAAAACCCTTTAACCATATGATTGATGGTTTTCAGAACAAGAACCTTATGAGCGATTTAGCGTAAAATATGTAATTAATTGTGAGAGAAACTAAAAGCGAGTAAGGTCCATTCAGTTCAGTAAAGCACAATGTCAGGTTCGCATTTAACATAACAATTTGAATGATTTGTTTACATAGGACAGTATTTACCTGTGGATTTATTAGTTCGGAATCATCTGTTTTGGTAATATGTGTCTAATGGGGCAGCTAAACAGGCACTGAGTAACGTTAGAGATAGTATAAGCAGGGAAACAACTTCACAACAAACTTTGGTGGTTACTTTCATCTTTGAATCTGTCTTCTTAACAACTACCTGAAACAGTATTAAAGTGTAAATTAGTACAAGGAAAGAATATTGTTTGCCTAGTTAGAAATTAACTGAAATGGCACAACCACTACATAATTAATTATTGCAAACAGAATGTAGTAGAATCCGAATTTCGTGTAAAGGAGATGAATATGCAAATAAATATACGTTAAAATGTGTCTCTATTAAAAGGAAAACGTAATTGTACACATTCTAATAAATTGAAATGCTCAAAAGACATTTACTTTATTTAAAATAAAATATTTTCATTTATGCGTGCGTTTGTTGAAAAGTATGTTTTTTCACATGTTAAAGTGTGCATTATCTAAAATGTGTGTCTACGTCAAAAGTTCTAAAAAGGATATTCAAATATTTTAAAAGCAATATCGCCTTGAAGCAACTACTAATTTAAAAATGATTAAATACTATCTTTGACATAAAAGTGTTTCGCTAAAAATCAGGATTAAAAAAAGAAACACAAAAAGAAAAAAAAGCATACTGAACATTCGTGTTCCTCAATTCCGACCACATTAACATACCATATATCGTCTGCTTTCAAGAAGTTAGTTTGATTATGCAATTATACATATCATTGATTACTGATTCATACTCATCAACAACGAGGAAATACAAAGCTACAATTATGTGTTGTCTGACTTTTATTGGTATTAAACGCACTAATTACAACATTGATACAAACTGCCTTATATTTAACAAACAAATAAAAACAATTTTGACTTCAAACAGCGCAGTTGCTTACTCTTTAATTGATTTTATAAGTGAAATTGTTAGTTAAATATGATTCATAAATGTCAGAACAACAAGCGTAACACTATATAAAGGATTTTGAATGAGCGTTTGTTTAATTTCTTGAATAAAATCATATTATGCTAGCTACATGAATATTATATTAGATTTATCACATATCCAAAAATAAGGATTGCATAAGGGTTTATATAGAAGTGCTCATGGCATTACCTTATCATTATATTAATGTAAAAGGTGGTAAGAATTCAAGATAATTAGATTTCATTCATACTCTATTTATACCTGCATATAACTTGATGATATTTTACTTCTACAGTGGATACAATTATTTATAATTACAATAAGTTTTCTATAAACTGACATTTTTCTAATCCAAGTTGAATGATAAAAGTTAAAATAACTTTACAGTTTGCCATAAGTATCATAGATTTAACATTATACTTTGCAAAAAAAGAACAATCCACGTGCCTCATGGACATTTCTTAAAATATCATTCAGAATTTATCAGAAACGTTCATATTTTATAGAAACATAGAATTGGACAGACCTTTTATAAGTTTTGTTTAAACTTTAATCTTAACGTTTTTCATTATAGATTATTAGTCAATCACCATTATAATAATCTTTATAAAATATATAACTTATTGAGCAAAATGTCATTTAAAATAGCTGAATCTTGATCCTTACCTAAAACATGTTATTGTTAAGTTTTTAAGGTAGGACAATGATTTATATACCTTATGTAAATGTGTTATTTTATTCAATTATTTATATTAACCATTTTATTGCATTTTAATTTAAGTAATTTAAAGCTGATGAGTATTATATATTTAAATAAGTTTTACGAATTTACGAAGTTTTATGGGACATAAACAATAACAGAAATGTTTATGAACAGTAGTGACCAATTAACAGTAACAGAGCAAAGCAACACACGTTTTATGAACATAAATAAGCTTTATTCAAACCGATATTAATGTATAATCATATGAAAGATATACCGGAATAAAGACAGTCTGAAGTTTTATTGCAATATAAAACGATAAATCGATGTAAAATTTGATAGATATATTTTATACAATAGCCATGTCGTTTGTTAGGTACTCTTTATAGTTGAAAGTTGCAAAATCCTTTGTTCTTCTTCCGCTCCGTATAAGTTGAACATTAAAGTAACGACTGATTGTTTGAGAGTATTCCCTTTAGACATATTTTGTTATCATTGTCAACAATACTATTAGAATATTTATCATTTACATAAAAAAGACCTTCATGGGATATAGGTTCTTAAACATAAACGTCATCGAATTAATATTTTAAATATTTTCATTTACAATTGTTAGACTGGCTTTTTTCTCATTGTAGATCACAAAACATTTCATAACAAAACATTCCTGTTGGCGTAAATAGTAACTGTAAAAATAATCATTAATAAATAAACGTGTCGAATATATAATGCAACAATTTGATTGGTGTTATATTATTTTTATTTTTAAGAGTACAGATAATATATTTCATCACATGACATTTAACTTAATAGCAAAACAATACGAAAACGACAGTTTTGTGCAACCGATGTGTTTGCTTCGCTTCGTGTAATAACTAAGCTGTCTATACAATTACAAGTAAAATGGTTTCCTGCGGTGAACATTTTAATGATATAACATTATTTGGGGGGGGGGGTAAAAAAACGTTTGTATCAGGAATAAAGTTGACAATTGAATAAACGATCAATATAGAAGAAGGTCTTTGGAAACTGGTGACCGTTGAAGACCGGAGAAGGTCGAACATACAACAATTATTTCTTTTTAAGAAAATGTTTAAATAGGCCTACCATTTTATGAATTATTCCGAGCAAAAAATAAATAAAGTAAACACACAAGTTTACGCAGAAAATATCTCTGTTTATTATGGCAGATGCCAATACGAATATTTTAATTTTGTAGATTTTCAGTATAGACAATTTATTGTTTGTAAACTTTGAGATAGATATTAAAGAAACATTGATAATTTTCAAACATATCATTCAAATTTTTCCACCTTCAACGGTAAATTAATAATAGAAAATTAGAAATATCACGCAATAGTTTTTTGTTCTTAATTAGGTGTAATTCGGATTAATTCCCTACAGGTAAATCCGTAACGTACCGGCAAACGTTATTTAGCTAGGTTTTCGAAAAGGTCAATTAACCAATCTTGTACGGTTTACAGATCACATGCTCCTCCATGTAGCGAAAACAGGTCACGTGCTCCTCCATGCCTCAAAAGTTAAACGCGTACCAATACCCTGCGGTCTCCAGACCGCAGGGAATAACTAAATGTTTAGAGAATAACTCTGTTTGGTACGCCCTCTAGTTAACTTACAACAATACTAATGGAAAATTTATTATGGTCATAAAAACGCGTGGTACATTCATTCTAAACAATTCGAGTGTGCCATCAAATAAATCTTATCAATAATTCAATTTACAAATGTTGTTAGGTCATTTGCTCATTGTTTGGAAACTTAAAAGAACGTTTTGATAAACACATTTTTATCAGTCAGTCATCTTCTCAAACTTATAAAATATGATTTATGTTCGTTTGACATTTTGTTTTAAAATTTCGTCCGAGAAAGTAATAGCTTTACTACATGTTAATATTTCATTCCTTAACTATGAAGCAATGTAATTTTGATGTCTCTAATAGCAGATATTTTCCAATATCAATGTCATAATCACGATTTCTTCATTATAATACGTTTTAGTTGTTGTTTTTTAATTGGTTTATTGTGATTTTCATAGACTAATATTAATATTCAACTGTTTGTTTCGTGTAGAGATATTTATGTTTTCTTCTTTTTAATACAATACAGTCCAATTTAAAAAAACAAAGTAAATATAAGTTAATGTGAACATTTAATGTGAATTAGTATAATTATAATGATTTAATAGATATATATACTACTTTGTTAAAATGTTAATAAAAAGTTGAAAAAAGGTTAATCATTATATTAATGGCATGCCGTTATGCTATATACTGTTGCCCCCATTGTGATCAACTTGTGACTGACTGGTTTTCGTAAAGGGTTGAGGCAAGTAAGAGGCGACTTAATAGCTCCAACAGGTGATGTGGGTTTCGCCCCTGGTGTTGCTTTATGTTTGTAACACCCGAGGTTAGCCGGAATCAAATTTCCTGTTTCGGCGCAAAATCACCTAAATTGTGTTGATGCGCCGTAAAACAAAACAAACACACTTACCTGATCGAGATGCTAAGTACTCGTATTTAAGAAAATAATTGAATTGCATTATTCATTTTCCTAATGCTTGTGTAAACATTATTAAATGATATTTCGCTTTGTTCATACAAAAGTAAAGATATGTTTTACCTGATTATATTATAATGTTGAAAGTGTTTTTAATATAATAAACATCAGTGTACTGTAACTATTTGTGAAAATCGAGTTATATCTTTTATAACTGGCTTTAATGGCGTTACTGGGCAACCATTTTATATATCTAGATTTATAAATTGTTTCGGGACATGCTTAAAACTAAGACAATTAAGAAGTGAATTCGAACCTAATTGCTTTTAAAAGGACATTTATATATCAATGAATTATAACTTATCAGATGGTTATAGGATCTATACATATATTAAAGATGGCGACAGTCAAAAGATATTGTTGACATTCTTGAGAATTTCAAAATGAATGATGCGTATTTTTGCAAACTTTTACCAATAAAGGAATTAAAATAAGCGGCAGGCAAAGCAAAGCCGAGAATCGAATTTGAATGATTTTGTAGTAGATCATCATTATATTCATTATTAAATCATTACAGTCAAAACATTAAGCAAATACCGATGAAAAAAGAAGAAAGGTTAAGAGCCAGTTGCGCCTTTCCAATTGATCAGAATCAATACCGTCTTTAATGAGGATAGTCACATTTTTGATTTATATTATCTGTAGTTATTTTTTTCTCATTATTATCAATTGATTACTAATGGATTTTATAATATCTCTGTTTTGAATTTTAATTTCCCTGTTGTAGTTTTAGATATACAGCTATATAAAAGTGCAATCATAAACATGTTTTCGGTACACCTTATTTCGTGAAAATGATTTGTATTATGTGAACAATAAAATGTGTAAGACCTTTTCAAGGGATATACAGGATTTATTTCACAGGAAATTGGAAATCACAGATATCTGTTTTTTTAATTTACTAGTTTATAGAACGTTAATTCGTAAGAAATACATGTACGTGATAAACATTTAATATACAAATTGGTGACATAAAGTAAATTGTAGAATGTCTCTTTATTTTTTTATCAATAGACTATTCTGCACAAGTTCAAAAAAATTATAAAGCAGCAAGAAGCTAATGGTGAAAAAAGGATCATGTCTTCAAATATTAGAAATCAGAAAGTGATGAGAAATCTAAATGAATAAAATATATAAAATAGTAATACTACTTTGGTAGCATTTACCAAAATTGGTAGTTGCAAAAGATTGAAAATAGTAGTTATATCTGCTAATCTCCTTTTTTTGACGTATCAAGAGCAATCAATTCTGAAAAAGGGTCAAAAACGGAATGAAGCATAATCCTTTGTCAACACTGCTTTAAAACAATGCCAAAATAGATTTAGCTAGGATTAATCTAGTCAACACAGCCGTCTTTGAATTGTATGCTAACACAAGATTTAAGACATTATTCACATGGCATCGTATTTACATTTGAAATGTGTCATTGAAAGAACTTAGCCATTAACCCCGGACACTTCAGTATATAATTTAGAGAACTTTAAAAAATTCGCACGACATAAATGAGC